CTTCGCATTGCTCCATTACACATTGCCTTCTGTTTTCCATTATAAACATCCACATACAACTAAACTATCAAATACCAACAGTCTTGTGAGGTTGATTTTCCTATAGTGACAGCATATGTACTTTAGCCAACAACCCAGCCTAAGACTTTTATTGGCTTTGTAGATTACTGAAAATGGGACTCATTTTGCAGTCAAAATTCATTAAAAGTAAGCGGTCACCAAGCAATTACCTCTGAGAAAAGTATTTATTCGAAGAACACCTCCCTAGACACTCCTCAAATTATAGATTTCTCACATTTTCATACTTTTGCCCCACCTCGAAGTATACCTGTTGGAAATGTTAGTGGACCTGTTCTTTGCCAGCCCCCACAGCATCTAATACCTTCTCATCACTCACCTGCAGCTCTGTGTGCTGCCAGGAGCGAGTCTAGGCTTTCACAACCTTTTTATCCCAAGGGAACCCTTAAAAAATATACTGCTAAAATGACTTCAGCAAGGGTCAGTGAGAAGAAAGCCTCTTACATTGGGGGTGGGCAGTGGAGTGAATGCCTCTTACATTTGGGGTCAGCGGAGTGAATGCCATCCGTACAGACAGTTCAAAAGTCCTGCCAAGTAGCGTTGAACCCCCAATCATGCAGGCACCATCAGATGGGAGGTCAATCAGCCACAGCTTAAGGAGCCCCTAGAGCAGGGATAAGCAATCCGCGGCTCCGGAGTCGCATGTGGCTCTTTCATCCCTCTGCTGCGGCTCCCTGTCCAGGGGCGGAACTACCGCCAGGGCCTCAGGCTGTGGGGGAGCCCAGTGAGGTCCGATCCTGGGCACCCCCCTGGTGGAATATGCGGCAGTGCAGAGTTCCGCACTGCCGACGGGCTTCTCAGCAAGGGGACGGGTCCTGTGACTCACCTCCCACTGCCTGTTACTAGGGACGCGGCCGGGAGAGGAGAAGTGTGTGTCACATCCCCCGCCCCCTGCAGTGCACACCGTCTGGCTGGGAAGCTGGCTGTGAGGTTGGCAGGTGAGTTCGAATGAGGAGCGGGGGGGGGAATGTCACTTCTATCCGACTTTGTGAGTGGGGTGGAATGTGAGATCGCACTCACAGAGTCGGATAGATGTGACATATCAGGACTGATCAGCTGTTCCAGGCCAGATCAGTTCTCCTGCACATATGATTTGTGATGCCGATCTGCCCTGGAACAGCTGAGAAAGCGTTGGAATGCTTGACCTATTGGCGGTCCCCCATTTCCACCGCCAAAAAATGGGGCGGGATTACATTGAAATGTGTGACCACGTCACCGGCCACACATTGTAACGTAGTCACAAATTTTGATAGAACACCGCCATCAGGGGGGTACGGCCGGTACCCATGTGAGGGGTCTGGGCAGCCTCTTACATGAGTATCAGCTGTACCAGCAGAGGTGACAGGGGAGGGGGTGGATGAGGCCGGGCTCCAGCAGGTAAGAGGAGTTGGGAGGAGGTACAGGGAAAGGGACACTGGCGACCAGCCCACCTGAGGCCCTGCAGAGCCAACCATACAGAGTCTCAGATGGGCTGTGCAGGATCTATGGTGTGCTCTGCAGGGTCATTCTCAGGTGGGCTCTGTGGGGTCTCAGGTAAGCCCAGAGTCCAGTGCGTTACTAAGCCCAGAGTCCAGTGCGTTACTAAGCCCAGAGTCCAGTGCGTTACTAAGCCCAGAGTCCAGAGCGTTACTAAGCCCAGAGTCCAGTGCGTTACTAAGCCCACATATACCTATATACATGCTATACATAGCATAAAAGGTAAAAAATTACATATGCAGTGTTATCTTCATTTTAGATGTCAAAAAGGTTTTGTGGCTCCCAGTGTTTTCTTTTCTGTGGGAAACGGGTCCAAATGGCTCTTTGAGTGTAAGCATGCAAGCTATTGCAGGCCAGGGACAGCATTGCACTTATTGATTTGTATAAAAGAAAGCTGCCTTGTATCAAACTTCGGCGTTCAAATGAATTACACTATAGCTGCAGCGAGAATGGGATTGTCACTTGACCAATATAGGACCAGGTTATTTGACATTAAAATACCTCTTTGGATACTATCAGCTACTTCTTACATTTGATTTAGTGAGTGTTGCTGCAACTCTTTGATTTTTTTTTTTTCCTTCCCATAAATATTGCAGAGCTTCCTTGTGTTTGATTGCATTTTCAGGTGATTTTTTTCCTTTGCTCATGCGGGTAAAGTAAACGGGTCACTTAGATTTCCCGTCCCCAGCAGCATATACTTCTTTCCTTTACTCTCCAACCACCAGGAGTAATGTGAAATATCAGCCACCTCTAGAGATGGTTGTGCATGTGACAGCACTAAGTACCTTATGATTGGCTGTGTGCTGTCACATGAAGCTGAGGAAGGAGTTTATAGTCCTGTGTGAGCTCCAACAATTAGTTTGGAACTTACGTTGTTATTTCTTTCTCCAATCAAGGAGCTGAAAGAAGTGGATATGGAGTGAGGAAAGAACGGTATATGCTCGAGGGAAGACGGTTAGCCAAGCGAACCTTTTACTGCAATGCATGTGCAAAGAAAAAGTCTACTTTAAGTCCCAGCACCAACTAGAGATTTGTTGTTTGAAAATACTGAATTTGTTGAAGAATCTAGACATTGAAAAAAAAACACGTTCACCTCTATCAAGTGTAGGTAAATTTGTATTGCAGCTTAAACATAAGCCATCCACAACAGTCTTTCCAGGTTAGAAGCTCATATGCCACCTGTTCCTATTCAGAAATACAGAATAAGCTGCATGTCACATCACATCTTCTCTAAAGTAGATCGTTGTATGAAAAGCCTTGTTCTGCTGTTCCCATTGGCATTCAATATCACGGCTTGGCAACAACACAGAGCTCATCCAATGAGAAATTGGCATTCATTGTTAACAGGTCTGTTACTTACACTGGAAACAGTATAAAAGACTCATCCCATTAACCTCTTTTATCTACTGGCATGAGATCAAATGCTCAGTTTAACAAAGTCAGCAACAAACAGAGTGGAGTCATAACAAGTAATAGGATCAGAGCACTTCTAGGTCAACACTAGTTTCCCCAAAGTATCATTTCACTAACCTTCAACTCAGAAACGAGCCATGATTGTACTTAAATCCTCACAGTCATAATCACTCCCGTGATGGACTACAATCTCACATTTATTTCACAAATTTGTATTGAGATTGTAGTCGATCACGAGAGTGAGCTTTGAGCGGTGTCTACAACACACACACAGGGACCATGGGGCATTTAATTGAACTAAGTTGTCAGCGATGAACTGAACAAGCAGACACTTCTCCGCGGGCAAGTGTGGACTGACCTCGAGTGACACTTTTTCTTGTTCCATTCACACTCATGAAGTGCCTTAAAGTAGAACTGAAGCCAAAATGTGTTTTCGGGTTGGGATAGAGCAGTGGCGTCACAAGGGGGGTGTGGCCCGCACCCGGGTGACACCATTGGAGGGGTGACACCAAAATCACTGACAGTAATTTTGGTGTCACCCCCCTCTGAAAAGTCGGCTCGGTCAAGGATTGAACGCCCGACAGTATCAGGAGAGAGAGGAGGGGACCCGGCGGCATACCTTATCCCGCCGGGTGACTGTCCCCTCCTCTCTCTGCCGGCGTCCATCACCAAGATGGGCGCCGGCAGGTATCAGAAGAGTGCCGGGCGTGCGCGATGACGTAATCGCACACGCGAGTGGTGACGACACCCGGTAACCGCTCCGGGTGTCACCCAGCCTCGGGACACCCCTGGGATAGAGTAACCCCTGTCAGCTTAACCTCTGTCCCATTGTGGAGATATCCCTATACTTCTTGTCTGATGACTACAACAGGAAGTCAGAGGAAATCCCTCCAAAAAGAGGATAATCGCTGGTGGTCCGCAGGGTCACCAGATCCATTGTCACTATTGGAAGATTCCCCATCTATTCCTGTTCTGGTGACAACCCAAAATGTGGGATTTTCTTTCACTTTCAGTGATAATGGTCACCGGGACAAATAGAGGAGGGTGATTCCTTGATGTACATTGCAGTACCACATGCATTACTGCAATGCAGTAGTCCGAATGGGCCCTAAAAGTAAAGCGATCTTGGAGAGGAACTGCTGCACTCCTTACCGGAACCCCTTTGTATAAAGGAGGGTGCTGTAGTAACCACGGGTAGCGCCGTGCATCTTCAAATATATAGTAGATGTCACCAGCACACCTATGTCTTGTGTCAATAATCCATCTTCTTTATTGATGCAGACTGTCAAAAAGCAATGTTTCGGGGGCCACATAGGGTCCCCTCCATCAGGTTTTAGTATGTTTTTGACAGTCTGCATCCACCCGTCAATAATCCATCTTCTTGATTGAAGATGGATTATTGACAGGTGTGTGGATTATTGATAGGTGTGCTGGTGACATTTATCATATACTAAAAGTAAAGCAGTCACAAGAGAAATACAGGGATTGCCCTGGCTGACGACCTTCTGAAAATGCTAGTTGCCTGGGCTGGCTGTTGGACCGAAGTGGACAAAACGTCAGAAAAAGAAGTCCATATGATATACTTGTTCCGGGTCAGTGGCCGATGAATTGGTCAGCATGATAGCCAGGCAGCCAGTATTGTATGAATGGATGGGAGTATGCATACGTTTTCTTTGTGACACACTTACATGAAGCACACCCAGACATTTAGAAGAATGACTCTTGTAGATCAGAAGGATACAATGTCATCATAGGACAGTATGGGAAGCCACAGATGACCAGCTCCAGCATGGAGGGCTCTCCCGGGCTACACACACTTATTTACTATGGAACAATAAACAGGACACGGGCAGAGAAAGTGACTCATACTGCTGTCAGCACAGCACATGTACTGCACACCTGCCCTATACAGCGCTATAGCTAGAAGTGTCACCCCATAAGATTACAGTCACCGTGGATCTACAATGCCGCCTCTGGGACTTGTAGTTCCACATGGATTAGTACAGCTCCCCCGTATTGAGCAGTATACAGACCGGTGACTGGCGCTCTTCTCGGCCCATACTCTGTACGGCTCTGATCAGCAGCTCCTGCTCCGGACAGCTCCGTTCTCTCCCGGTGGCCGCGAAGTTCTCCAGCAGCTCCAGCACCCTCACCACTTGCGGGACCACTCCGGACACGGACTCCGGCCCGTACTGCTCGGTGAGGCTCTGCAGCTCGGAGCCCAGGCTCGTGGCCATGCTGTACACATCCTCCAGGGACAGAGCGGCAGGAGCCCGCCGCCATACTCTCTCCGCCGACTCCATCCCAACGACCTGCTATGCCGCGACCGCCACCGCTGTCATGCGAAATAGAGGGAGACAGCACAAACTCCGCCCCCAAGCACGGAGGGACCGCCTGCGCTCTGAACAACACAAAACGCCCACACACAAAGCAGTGACCGTCGTACTGATGCATGAAGCCCCGCCCACATACAGATCTGTCACTGCACTGAATGCACAACACCCCGCCTACACACATAGCTGTCACCGCACTGAATACATGAAGCCCCTCCCATACACAAAGCTGACACCGCGCTGAGCACACAGAGCCCCGCCCACATACTGACTGCTGCTTTCTACAAAGGTTTCCCTTGACATTAGGCGTCCCACCCAACTCTGCTTATCCTCCACACAGCCGTACACACTATCAGAAGGTACACTTCGTTTCACGTATATTTTCTACGGGAACCGTAGGAAGTAGAGGACGTGGCTGTAGATCTGTGGGCGTGGTATGCAAGTCTGTTTATGCTGATATTATTGTCAATCATGACTTTGGTTAGGTCAAGTGTAGACATAACAGTACTAGTGGTTACTGTCATGTAGTGTCTGTAAGGAAGTCAGGGTGCAAATCACAGCCAGTCACATGTACACTATCCCCTCTGAGGGCTCGTGATCATCAAGCTGGACTTCCCAGTGAACACCAATGTGAGCAGCTGAAAAAACTCCCCCAACAATGATCTATATCCTGAAAGCCGAGGCCCCGCAGAATAAAAAATGCTGGTTGCAATTTATTAAGTCGCACAATATTTACACATTAAATTGATATTTTTTGGAAAATAATACACTAAAATAATTTTAGTGCAAACAAATCGAGTATAATACCCAGTTTATTCAAATATAAAATATGAGGTTATGTTGGGTAGGGGTGCCGATAGGGAGTATTTGGGCGAGTACTCATACCTTCCCCGAAACCAGGAAGATTTTCTCTGACCGACAATGACCTGCTTCCTGATTGGCCAGGAAGTTGGCTGCATGCTGATTGATCAGCCCATCAATGGCTATGATGGCTGATATCTTTGAGTACTTTAATCAGAAGTAAAGTACAGTATATATATATGTGTATATATATTATATATATATATTTGGGTGGGGGGGGGCTGGGCCTTCATGGATTCTTGCATCGGAGCCCTGAGGTAACTAGTTACGCCTCTGCTGTTACCCATCACAGAAATATTAGAGCAGTCACACTTTCTACACAATAACTTTGTTTTGGCTGCTACACATAATTTCTGTATGTCTTATATTATTCTATATTTGTTTGCAATATTCTGTATGTATTGCAGTATAGTAAACACGGCTAAGCAGGATGTATTTATAGCTGTGAGGCAGCAGATGGTTAGAGATTATGAAGAGCAGCAGAAGCCAGATCCTGTGTGTTTTATTCTGGAGAGTATGCATTGGCAATGTGACTAGGGCTGCTTGAAGGAGGTTATTATAAACACTATTTTGGGACTATAGGTACACATACAGTGAGGAAAACAATTATTTGACCACCTGCAGATTTGGTAAGTTTGCCCACTTACAAAGAAATGAAAGGTCTATAATTTTTTATCATAGGTGTATTTTAAATGATAGAGACAGAATATCAACCAAAAACCCAGAAAACACACGATACAAATGTTATAAATGGAGTTGCAGTTCAGTGAATAAAATAAGTATTTGGTCCCCTACCAACCAACAATAATTGTGGCTCCCACAGACTGGCTATGTGGTACACAGATTAGTCCTGTCAATTTAAGAAGGTGCTCCTAATGACAACTCCAATGTCCACAGACTCTCTTTCTTCCATTCAAACCTCACCACCATGGTAAAAACAGGGGATGATACAACCATGAACTGAAGCTGTGGAACATAAAGCTGGAAACCAGAGCTGATAAGAGATGGGTGGGAGCCTAAGGTCAAAGCAGAGTGTCAAGCAGGTAGCGCAGGATTCTCCAGAGAGCAGTCTAAGGGCTAACCGGTGTTCACCATAATTCCTGATAATGGGGATGGATTTTGCTGGATGCTGACCCCAAGTTCACTCTACTCAGCAGATGATGTATGAGGATTCCAGGAGGCAAGGTCAGGGTCAAGGTTAGGGTAGGCAGTGGACAATGATCATCAAGAGACAAGCCAAGGTCAGTACATGGAAGTGGAACAGGGTAGATAACAGCTGACAATATTACAAGACATGGAGGCATGATAACTAGCTAGTGATGGCGTTGCTTGAGCAGGGAGCTGCAACAAGTTTAAATAAGGTGAGAAAAAGGAAGGAACCACTAGATTTGTCACACACTGATGGTACTGATTGGCTGAGATCAGGTGATGACTAAAGCTGCCAGACCAGTGCAAGAACAATGTTGGAAAAGAGCACATGCAGTGGAAATATATGTTACAGAACAACTAGATGCTGATCTGCGACACAACTTTGTAGAACAGTAACAGATCAGCCACAATGCTGATTCATTACATACTCACAAGATGTTTTTGCAAGGAGCAGGGATGATGACCCCCCCCCCCCCCCCCCCAAAGAGGAATATATTGTCATGGATACCATGTACTAGGTCTTATTACTTTAATTTCTCCAACGATATGCAAAACACAAGTTCTAGCTGACACGCATAAAACAAAAGCTGCTTCCCCTGTCCACTAACAACATCCTGGCACATCAGGGATACAGGAAAGTCATTCGAAAACATGAGGACCACAAACCTGCTGGTTCCTGCTATGTTCATACCGACTCAAATGGTCCTCAACTGCAGGTGAGTGCTTCAAGATGAGGGCCTATACCTTCACGAACACTACCTGGTGCATTAGGTATTGGGTTCTTACATATGTTTTCTACTTCCTTTCAGCCAGCAGTCTCATTTAATACTTTGCTGTGAATAGGCTGTAGTTTGATCTCCTGCTGTTCAGAACACATACATGCAGCTGAATGAGTCAGAGGAATTCTTCCCCCTTCCATTAGAAGTTTATGTCAGACAGAAACAGTGAGAATGTCAGAGGCCAATGCTGGGTTTCTTTTCTTTTAATTTTTTCAAACTTTTTAAATATTTAATTTTTATTTATTCATTTTTTATTAAATATTTTTATTTTTTACATTACTTTTAGCGGCTTTGGGGAAATATTAGGGGTTCATTGATCGCTGAATGTTTGCTCTCCTCTCTGTCACACACTCTCACAGGAGGCTGAGCGAGCAAGCGGTGCGGGAGGAGAGCTCAGCCTCCTGTGACAGTGTGTGACAGAGAGGAGAGCAAACATTCAGTGATCTGTCTCCGCCCCCACACCGATCTGCCGCACTGCGATAGGCAATGCCATCCATGGTAAATAAAGGGCCTCTTGTCTGTTAGCACAAGTATTGAAAATATAGTAACTAGAGCATGGTATTCTGAGAGATCCTATGAGACCTGTGTAAGTTTAAGCCCTGGTTCACACCTAAGAGGTTTTGAGCAATTCGAAAAGCGCTTTTAACTGCCCAACACAAGAAATCCCATGATTTTCAATGGACCTGGTTCACACCTGAGCAGGAAAACGTCAGATGCCTAAAAGATACAGGAGCTTATTTGGGCAGTTAAAGCCCATAGACATCATTGGAAATGCCAATGCCCAAAAACGTGCAACAGAAGCATGTTGCACATTTTCCTGAGCGTTTTTGCGCCTTTATACATGCGTCCTTCCATTACCCACAATGTTTTTTGAGCTGCCAATCAAAACGCACGTCTTCATGTACACACGTTAAAACGCGCATACAAATTTGCACAACGTGCAATTAACCGCATGCTGCTAACGCACGTACAAACACGCAAAAACGGTACAGTCTAGGTGTGAAGCTGGGCTAAATGTTGATTTATACTGTATGCAGGTATAAAGGAGTAGAGTGGGCCTTAAAATGTCTAAAATGTACACTTTCTGTAGAAGGGTAACAAATCGCCTCAATGTACCCTGCTACCACAGGTTCCTCTTAGTGACCCTGCACTAGGCTCTGTGATCGGTTGTACAAGCCACATGCTGCTGTGAAATGGGTGCACAAAGAGGGACATGACAGATGCAACACAATTATAGTCAAATTAACTAATAAAAAATGTTTAACAAAATACATCACAACCCACCTGCTTAGGGGGTTTAATTACACTTTAAACCTAAAGCCTTTGTAGCGTCATAAATGACTGTATGACAGGTAGGTAGTCCTCTGCTATCCTGTACTCGTAAGTGTATACTGTCCAACCTAGTAGCACAACCAAGACTGTTTAAGTGTTAGCAGTGAGCACTTGTTTCTTCTTGTTTCTGTGATTCTAAATATGCTTTGCCATGCAAGTCTTCCTTAATATCATTTGACATTGACCTTGTTTGTAATCTGTCATTTTGACACAGGAGAGACATTGACATATTTGGCTAGACGCCGTTACAAGAGTAGCATCAGCAGGCATTGGGTTTCAGTGCTGCAAAAATAGATCTTTGAAAAAAGGTCTCTTGGTTGGACAAGAATAAGTTAGCTTCACTTTCATTCTAGCTGGAAAGTCAAAGATGACATAGCCCATTAATGTCACAGTATCATCCACAGAAATGGCCATGGGAACACCACAAGTTGATACTTATATTTGTTTTAATAACATAGTGTGTCCTCTTTATTTTCCTGGTGTTATAGCCCAATAGCCAGGGCCGGATTTCCCACAAGGCCCCTGAGGCCCGGCCTCGGGGCAGCAGGGGTGTGGAATTCCCGTCACCCGGCCCATGCAGTTCCAGGTTTTTGTTCTACATTTAGCCCTGCTTCGGGAAAGTAGGGCTAAATGTACAGCGCGGAAGCCGCCACTTGTTTTGTACAAGGGACCTCAGCGATGCCGCCGAGATCCTTTGTATGCAGCCTGCAGGTCTGCCTCTGCCGCCTTTACGAACACACACACTTTGTTTCTGAGGGGCCTGCTTCCAAAGTTGTCATTAGATTGCAGCAATCTCTCATGCCTCCATCAAGAGTCATGATCTTTCCTTTCCATCCAGTAACCATTCACACAGCAGATAGCACCAGTCTTTTTCCTTTTTTCTTGTGTGCAAAGCAGCCAAGTTGGCCTCTGTTCACATATCCACAAACTAAACATTTAGATTGCATCGATGCCAATCTGGACTTTTTTTTCTGGCAGCAGTGGTGAGAGTGGGATTTGTAGTTCAGGTGTTGGTGCAGTGGCGAGGAGGGACAGACGCAGTGGTGAGTGGGATTTGTAGTTCAGGTGTTGGCGCAGTGGCGAGGAGGGAGAGACGCAGTGGTGAGAGTGGGATTTGGTGTTCAGGTGTTGGTGCAGTGGCGAGGAGGGACAGACGCAGTGGTGAGTGGGATTTGTAGTTCAGGTGTTGGCGCAGTGGCGAGGAGGGAGAGACGCAGTGGTGAGAGTGGGATTTGGTGTTCAGGTGTTGGTGCAGTGGCGAGGAGGGACAGACGCAGTGGTGAGTGGGATTTGTAGTTCAGGTGTTGGCGCAGTGGCGAGGAGGGAGAGACGCAGTGGTGAGAGTGGGATTTGGTGTTCAGGTGTTGGTGCAGTGGCGAGGAGGGACAGACGCAGTGGTGAGTGGGATTTGTAGTTCAGGTGTTGGCGCAGTGGCGAGGAGGGAGAGACGCAGTGGTGAGAGTGGGATTTGGTGTTCAGGTGTTGGTGCAGTGGCGAGGAGGGACAGACGCAGTGGTGAGTGGGATTTGTAGTTCAGGTGTTGGCGCAGTGGCGAGGAGGGAGAGACGCAGTGGTGAGAGTGGGATTTGGTGTTCAGGTGTTGGTGCAGTGGCGAGGAGGGACAGACGCAGTGGTGAGTGGGATTTGTAGTTCAGGTGTTGGCGCAGTGGCGAGGAGGGAGAGACGCAGTGGTGAGAGTGGGATTTGGTGTTCAGGTGTTGGTGCAGTGGCGAGGAGGGACAGACGCAGTGGTGAGTGGGATTTGTAGTTCAGGTGTTGGCGCAGTGGCGAGGAGGGAGAGACGCAGTGGTGAGAGTGGGATTTGGTGTTCAGGTGTTGGTGCAGTGGCGAGGAGGGACAGACGCAGTGGTGAGTGGGATTTGTAGTTCAGGTGTTGGCGCAGTGGCGAGGAGGGAGAGACGCAGTGGTGAGAGTGGGATTTGGTGTTCAGGTGTTGGTGCAGTGGCGAGGAGGGTCAGACGCAGTGGTGAGTGGGATTTGTAGTTCAGGTGTTGGTGCAGTGGTGAGAGTGGGATTTGGTGTTCAGGTGTTGGACAGTGGAAAGAGGATGAGGGTCAGCTGTGGTGGTAAGAATATGGAGGAAAGGGGTTGCAGTGAAGGCACAGTGGTAGGGAGGTTTCTTGAATGGTGGTGAGATGAGGTGGGGCTGTACTAGCGTGGTGGGGGTAGGGAAGTTGAAGCCACGGCAGAAACTGCGGAGTAGGTGGTGTGAGCCAACAGGGCCAGAAATTAGAAGGCCAATCCTATTGTAACACAGTTTCAGCTACTGCAGTTCCTGCTCTGAATGTGCTTCCCACTAGGCATGTCTGTTGTCGATCATGCTGGTCTACATTTAAATGTTTATGCTAGTAAGCATGCCAAGCAGCAACTCAGTTATGATCTTTCTGCCAATACTGTGCATGCGCCATTTTGGCCTAGTCTAAAAACTTTGCCCAACTCTAAGTGAAAGTGGCATTTAATGACAGTACTGATCTCCTCTACCTTGCAGATGTGAGGAATAAACTCCCAGCACAGGAAGTCTGCTCTCACTGAGGCTGAGTACACACCATTTTTCGGACCAGATCTGGAACGCAGTACACACAGGCAATCGTTTTCGCCACGATTTTACTGCGTTCGGGAGCTTTTTTTTTAGCTTAAAATAGGCTTTCAGGTGCGGTCCAGTGCGTTCCATTAGTTTTTGATGCGTTGCAATTAGTTCCAGTGCATTCCAGACCAGACAAATGAGACATGTAGTATTTTTCTGGTCTGGAACGGACTGGGCTGGTGTGAAGAGGCCAGAAATAGCATACGGATACATTGGGATGCAAGTTTTGAGGCCATCTTCTTAAGATTTCATAAAAGGTATATTTTGATACAATAGGCAGCAAAAAAACTAATTTAAAAAATTTATTAAAGCGACATTGTTACACGTTTCTACAATACCTTTCAAAAGATACCGAGAATAAAGACATTCCATACAATTTCTACACAGTTGCAGTCAGCAACAACAAAAAAAGATAAGGAAAAACATTATGAAACCGGACAAACCACAGTTACAAGGTAACAACTGTGGAGATGTGAAATTCAGAGCTCATGCTTATAAGTCTTATGTTGAATATCAACAGTGATCCAAGTTTTTTTTTCTTTTCTTCAGATGCACGAACTATGCATACAGGTCTTCACGGTCAGCAGAGTACACCTCACCCTCCTGCAACAAGGCGAAGTTTAAGAAGTGTGAGGGGCGGTGGACTTCATGGTAAAACTCCTTGGGATTAGCCAGTTGTAACTCATATTTCATGTTGGGATCATGTCTGACACCTAGAAGAAAAAAATAAATAAAATGAAGGAACAAGATGTTCTGCACCAATCAGCACTTTAACCCCTTCATGACTGAGCTAGTTTTCAGTTTCTGTTCATAAATGACTGACACGCTTTTTACATTTTTGCTGTGTGATTCTTCCACAGCAGTAGTATACTTTCTTACTAAATGTACCCACACATATTATATATTGTTTTTTAGAGGACAGATAGAGCTATATAATTATATCACATATGTGTACCTAACCCCTCACTTAGTTTGAATAAAATAGAAAAAAAATGAGGAAAAAAAACAATTTTTTCACAATTTTTCACAAGTTATTTTTTTATATTAATTATAGTATAAAAAATATATTATATATAATTTTTATTTTCCTAATTTTGTTTTACACTCTGTGTCAGTTTAAATCAAGCAGTCACTATGACTGCTTGATAAATTAACTTTTTTTTTTTCAATTTGGCTATAATAACCTTAGAGACTGATCCTGACTTTAGTCAGATCTCACTAAAAGCTCTTTGATCGTGCCTAGACGATCAGAACTGATACATTTCACTCAAAAGATATACAATGTATATCTTTTGAGTGAAATGTATCTAAACATCGGGCTCTCGAGCTGTCAAAACAAATAGCAGAGAGGTGAGTCACTGCTACGTCTCTATTTTCAGCTGTCAAATACGGGATCGCAAATTGCGTCCTGTATTTGCATGTAATGGCTTCATTCTTTCATTAATGAAAGGAAGAAGCTTTTACAAAAAGCTTAAATTATTTCATTAATGAATGCCTCAATACTGAGGCATTCATTAATGACTGGTAACCGCTGAGAATCAGCTGTTACCAGCATTACAAAGCCTGACATAACTCGTCACGTACAGTGTACGTGGCCAGTCATATAGGCAGAAAGTGCCGGGACGTACACTGTACGCCTCCCGTCACGAAGGGGTTAAGAGAACATGCAGCTTGTAGGAAAAACATAACTGCTGCAACAAAAAAGCCTTAAAAGAGAACTATGGGGTGAACCTTTTTATCCCATAGTTCTCTTTAGAGTCACAGTAGGACATATACTAATATCCTCCCGTGACCCAAAGCTCAGTATATAGCTCGCTATATATTGAGAGCACCGCAGATGGGACGGATTCCGACAATACTGTCAAGGTCCAGCCAGCTGGCTGATTGACAGCGGGCTCTGCCTATCTAGAGGCAGAGCCAGCTGTGCCCGCCCCCTCCCCGTCTGTTCCT